GTGCTGTGGTGGTTCAGGGGTTAAGCACAACCCACATATGGAGGCTCTAGTTTTCAATGTGGCTGCCGTGGGTTCGCTTCCCAGTCTTCCCCTTCTCTCATTACCCACTTTTCTTTTGTAAATTTACTACCAAATAAAAGCCACTAGAGCAATTAAAACCTTTTTTCCCCCCAGAAACTATTGACCATTAATAATCCCCAAATTCATTTTAAAAGACATTAGATGCCACATTAGATGCTACAAAACACCCGCACCAGTTGCAGTATGTAATCTACTTTTATTTCAAAACATCAAACAGCACTGCCAGCAATTTACAACAAAGGTCATATATTCATGGTACTTTGCACTGAAGGTTAAGTGTGCTGTGAAAGTTCATCAAAAGCAGCCATGGATGGTCTTGTGATCAATGATGGTGAAGTGTCCTTGGTGCTGCTCTTGTTTTCGCCACCATGAAGGAGGAAGACTTCCAGCCTGGAAGGAAAAACAAGAAATATAGCAGAAACATTAGGATAATAAATAAATATTTTAAAAAGTAGTGTGAGCAAAACTAATCAGACTCACCTGTGTGTGTCACCATCATATTCATTCAAATTACTCTGCCCACCTGGTTTACAAGATAAAGCATAAAAAAGTCAGAAATAATTAAAGAAATTAGTCAGCTTATAGAAACATTTTTGGACAGCATTAAAAAGTCATGCAACCTGTCTGAAGAAATGTGATGAAGTCATCATAACAGGCTTCAGTCACCAACATGACATACTGACAAAGAAAAAACATTTTGGCAGTTTTTAGATGTGCCACAGGTACAAAACACCAGAGTCAAATGGCTCAATTGCCTCCTCACTGTGTAGATATGTTCTCCGGAGTCCTGCTACTCACCTAATTATTGTATTCAGGTGTGGTGCAGCAGCGGCACATCTAAATTTTGCAGGACAGTGGCTCCAGGACTGGAGTTTGACACCTGTGGCATAGATCAAGCCAACGGTCCAGCACAGCCACTCCCCCATTTTGCAGTCTACAGCCAAAAACTTAAAGAAAACGACCTCCGCAGCTAAATAATGTTAACTCAAATGGCCTCCAGATTTTCCTGACAGTTTTAATGTTCGGTTAAGATAATAAACAGTTGAATATACCGTGATATCCAAACAAATAAACGTT